GTTAGTAATCGGGAAATATAATAGTTATTTACCGCTCAATCGCCGACATCATCAGGGTCACGGCTGCGCCGTGACACTTGATGATATCTCTGATTTCACGGTAAATAACTAATACATACTAAATTGTAAAAAAATACATAATCATTCAACAAGGTTTTCTTGTCTTAATATGATAACCCGCCTTAGAAATCATTCTTACAGATTACAGATCTACTTGATAATGCTACCCTAAGTAACCGAATAAAAAAACTACTATAAATATTAATAGTACAATAAACGCACAAAGTTTGTAATCAGAATACTTTTGTCAGGCAGTTTAGGTTATTAAGTTCTTAATAACTCACGATGATGATGCAACGTTTTATATGGTAGATTAGATTAAAGGTGTTGTTGTATTCAGTTTGTTTTCATTTATGTATTTATAAACATAAGCAGAAGGATTTAATAGAATAAAATGAAGTGATTGTGGCAAAATTTATTTAATTTTAATAATCAGTGTTGTATTGACGTTGGCATTCTACACTTTGCAATGTTAATATATTAAACTAATAAATGCTAGCTAATCACTAACAATATTAATTAATTAAAACAGCGCAATTAAAAAATATAAAAATAAAAATAATATTAAACATAAACAAATTTTAAAAAACTAAATAATAAAATTAAACATTGGTTTGTTTCATAGGTGATTATTTTCATTTGTTTGAAACTAAATTTGATAGAAAAATATAAAGTTTTCAATTTATGCAAGTTTAATAAAATAACATATTACCACCATTGGAAACCCAATATATTATAAAATATAAACCTTCGAAAACAAATTGGCTCTGAGTGATCGGCTATTATATCCCATATTGTGAACAATGTTTTTGTAACTTCAAAATCATCTTTATAATCAAATCAAAGTTCATTTGTTGCGTTGAAAGTCCAAAATGTTGCTACTATTTTTATTTTTTGCTAACAGGAATTTTTTGAAAAAAGTTTATTTTGGAGGGTATTAAGTCTTTCTTCAAGTCGACGAGATTCTTTGATCCTTTTTATGTCATTCTAAGTGAATCGTACATTCACTCATGAAGTTCAACTCCTGTATCTGGAGTACCATTACGTTGGGCTATTTACGTCGTGAGAATCGAGGAGATCGTGAGTTCAGGTAGAGGATTGTGATTGTTGAGAAAAAGTTAGCGTGCATCAGAAACGAGATGCTCTGCTCGTTTTTTGTTTAAAATAATATAAATTTGAGGTTGTAAGTTTATGTACATCTTAAAAAATGTAAAATTTAAAGTTGTAACAAATTTATTAAAAATTTCAAGCTAAATATTCTGAAGTAATTAAAGTGAAATTTTAATTTAATTTGTTGCCTCCTATATGAGAACTTTTTATACCTTAAGTACTGTACATCATTTAAAATATTTGTTAAACATGATAAATTTTAGGGAAGGGTAGTTATGAAATTTGTTAAAGCAATTTAATCTGTCTCTTATAACCTTGAGTTGGGTCATGTATGATCAATAACATCAGTCCCAATTAGAAGAGAACTGTCAACATGACTACCAGGATTTGTCTGCCAAATTCTGAGATAATTTTTCTTTTTTTCCGCGTCAATTTTTAATAATGATCAATATTTCCATTAAATTATTATCGAGTAAATTTCTTAAACGAAAATTATTTGACATTCGTTGAACCTTAATTATCTCTTGAAAAGACGAAAATTTTACCTCAACTATTTAAAAATAAACTCTCTAAAATGTAGATAGTAACTTCTTTATTTTATTTTTTTAAGGTATTCTAAGTTAAATTAAGCCAACAAGCAACAAATTTAATGCATTATATATACAATTGTATCTTCAAAGGAAAATAATGATTCATTAATGGAACTCCTAATTATGAACGATAATGACGCACGTTACATAAGGCCAGAAATTACTCATGATAATACTACGGTGATTACTAAAGGTTTGTAGTTAATGTAATATCAAAATACTACATTTACAAAGAATACATAACCTGTACATTTATTAGGTATATTGTTAGTATCAAGAGTAAACAAATTTTTTAATGTTGGTATACTTAAGTATTAACTGAATTTGTTTTATACAACTTTTTTTATTTGATCTTTTATTATTTCATTATTATCAATTGTTTACATTCAATAGATTTATGGTTCTCCAGTTCAAAGAGGTTTAAGGGATCAATAATGATTCTTATAAGAATGATCGAATATTTGTAATAATATCGTAAGGAGTTCAAGGAGAAGAATTTATGATAGATTTACGAGATTGGTAGTAAATAAGAAATATAAAGTCAACAAGCACGAAACCTTTTTTATATTGTAATGAGAAAATTATTAAATTGTCTTCGTTGATGGAATGGGAATCTTAGAATTTGGAATAATCTAAAACTTAATGCATCGCTATTTTACCTTTATGTCATTTATCCTATTAAAATCTAATCTAATGATAAGTTAATTTAATTTATTATATCATTGTGTCACTTTTCGGTCACACTATTATTTAGATACCCAGGTCGAACAATAACTTCTTTCTCAAATATTTTGTATCCACTAATTTTATGAACTGTGGCTACAAAATTATATTAAAATACAACAAATTGCTTCTTAACATTGTTATATAGTTTCATATTTACTTAATTTATTTCTCGAAATACAGAAAATACAGAACAATAAAGCTGTGCATCTGATATTTATAAATCATATAAAAGTCGTTATCAACTAAAGAAATGCAATAATTACGTTTGACTCGAAAATTATCATCATTATTGAATTTTTATAAGATACCACATATAGTTTTATATATCGAACACCTTATGTGAATTTTACGTATAAATCCTGTCAAGTAACAAAAAAAAAAGTCATATTATTATCTTATCTTTAACATTTTAATAAATTAAGGTTCTTCGTTTTGCGTGTTATACATTTTAATAAAGTTGTTTTTACATGATCCAACTGTTAAAACTTTACAACGACCATAAAGCTCTTTGTATATGTATGAAATCTTTAACCGGTTAATATCCAGTTAAATATTCGTTAACCGGTTCCTAACCTTTACGTCTTTGCATTCTCTGAATGTAAGTTTGATAAAACTGGAGAAAGAAATTGGTGGAACAAATAA